AAAGAGGTGATGCGACAGGTTGCGTGGCAGGAATGTGGGCAAGGAAATCAGTCATGCGTTTAGCACCAGCACCGTGTTGATGATATCTCATCATTCAGAGCTAACCAGTTGGGATCACCACAGACTTACTCATTTTTCTTAATCGCCAACGAGATGGATTAAGATATGAAGATATGGTAGAAGTAACAGCAGTAGAAGAATTGCTTGCATTAGTGAAATTTATAGATTGAGGAGAGCATTCATGACCGTAACGATGATACAACGGTGCGTGATCAACATTAGTGTTATTAATGGTATTATTTGCATTTGTTGTTGCACCTTAAAATGAACATCACTTCAACATCGCATCCATCCACATTCAAATCATATCTTGTCAAATCGTCAGAATCAGAGACAAACTTAAAACAAGATTCCAAGAAACGATCAGTAAATCACATTGTCGTGTACAGCAAAGATTTTAAATTTTCACAACAATCATGAGTACTTCACTCAAACAATCCCAGAAGCATGCAGAATTTGGCAAGGGTGGGGATTACACGTATAATCGTTTTGAGCCAAATCGAGTAGAATCATTTCATGAAGTGCATTCTCGCTGAAGCATTCCAACGGAACGTCTGGGGAGTAACCATCCCAAAGGTGTTGTCGATGCAGAAAATGCTTGTATTAGAAGACACATAAGAGAGTTATGAAAAATTATTAGTAAGTGGCTTTATAATGTAGATCAATGAATAGATCAGTGTATGAAAACTAATTTAGTCATCGCCTGAAACGATAACAAGTATTTGGTTGAGTGGCTTTATGAATAATTTATGCGTGAGAAATGAGTAGAGATTGCAAAAACCTTGATCTTCATCAATTGAGTCCGTTGAAACACGTTGACGGAGTTGATACAGTTTTGAGCTGGTATGTTTTATGGATAGACGTGAACGCCGATCTCCTCCACCCGCACCACCAGCTTCGTGCACACTCAACGTATCCTGAGAAATGCAAAAATTTCCAGATCAAAAAATTCGATCAATGATACGATAAATGAAAAAATCGCTAAGTCGGCGATAAGTATCCCTCATCGGAAGCAATAAAANAACATAATGTGAATGATTTGGTTCTAATGTGAAGATCAGTCAATGAAACATTCAATTCAGACTGCTCACTTGATTATCCTCGTTTATCTCAGAATCGGAGCCACCTTCGTCATCGTTAGTTTCGGAACGCACTGACTTCAGCAAATTGAATGCTTAAAAGTTTAATAACATCAGAATCATTGGATCCTTAGCAAAAGTGTGTTTTATGTGAAGTGTTATTTATGATCATACAAAGATCAACGAGACTCATTTGTTAGCAATAAGTTGCAGCTGTTGATTGGACATACTTTAAAATGAATGAATTCATTGGAGAGATTAATTAACGTGATTTGGAACAGTAACAACGAAGAAATTGAACAGTTCAATTTTCAGTCTGTGATATATTGTATCATTGATAACAAAAAGGTGCAGGTTATGAGACTAGAAACATTAATAAAAGACATCTGAGGTCGTTTGTTTAGTTGGGATAATTCGATTGCTTAATTTTTACCGAAGTGAAGTTTTCCTCCACTTTTCTTCTTCGCATAATGCGGTAGCAGAAGAGGCGATGAAGACGGTGGTCCGGCTGCCGTGGTCTCTTCGCCTGAAGTCGCATTGCGAGGTGTTGACGGTGATGAATCCAAATCACTCTCATCGGCATTTGAGACCTGTAATTGCGATGGTTGTAGCGTTTTGAGGCAATTTCAATTACTTTAGCATTCGATATTGTTGATGTTCTTTCTTGATCTAGGACATGAATAAATAATTGAGATAACTGGATATTTTCTTTTCTATCCTTGAAATGTACACTTCAAAAGGTTGTTGGCCGCAGTTGATTTGCTGCTGCTTTCAGTGAAAAGTAAACTTGAGAATAGTGAGAAGGATTGGAATGAGAAAGTTTACTCTGTCTCGCTTTTTGAAAAGACCTCGACGGAGTGAGGCTTGATCTCGGGAATGTGTTGTTGGTGGTGCGAGACCACTTGGGCTCGTTCGGGCACTTCCCTCTTCACTATAATCGGATTTTGATTCAACACTGAAATATTTCGGTCACAGTCGAAGCACTACAGGGAACATCAAACAGCTGATTTATTGGCTTGACATACAACATTCAAATAAGCACAACGCTCCTCGAAACTTAATGAAACAATGAATAAAATCATTTCAAGACAACACCTCTAATGCTACCATAATTAAG